CTGCCGCTCCCGCCTCCCGCTCGGACTCCCGAGCTCCCGCCCGCGCCCGGCGCCGGCGCCGGCGCGGCACCGGGGACGCGGGAGCCCGGCGCTCCCGTGCGTGTGCATGTGCGTGGGCAGTGCCGCCCTCGGGCGCGCGCAGGGCGGGCGCCGCGGCTGCGGGGCTCGCCCGGGAGTCTCGGACTGGCGTTCCGGGCACCCTGCCTTCCGCGCTCGCCGGAGACAGCGAGACGCGCGCTCGCGGGCGTTGGGTCTTAGCGGGTATCGCCGCCGCATTTTGTCTATGGGCGAGTTATAGGCGCTCAGTAAGCGTTTGTAGAAGAGATGCAAAGGTGGTATCTTTTCATTTGGGCTGTAAGGGGCGATCCCAGTCCCAGAGAGGAAAGGGATCGCATACACACACACACCCCAAAGCTCAGGAGCCAGTCAGGGACGCGCCCACGCTCCCGCATCCCCCCGGAAACTCGCAAGGAGACGTCTCGGGGCTGGAGGCCGAATAGCCCATCCCTGGCGGTGGAGCCCCTGGGTGAGGCTTCTTTTGCAGCTCGCTCGGAGAGCTCTGATAACTCAGCGCCGTTTCTACATCCCTGTTGAGCAGAGTAACGACTCCTGTGCTGTGGGAGCATCACCTTGCGGTGACGGTGCTGGGGAGTCCCTCCCGCTCCCCCGTTTTCTGCTCATCTATGCACAGGAAGCTGGACGCTGCCGCGGCTCCCCCGTGTCGCTTGTGCAGCTTTATCACACTTGTTTTAACAGCGTTTAGCCAGAACATTAGTAATTCGTATCTAAAAATTAGAGCAGGACCATCCTTGTGGGCTTGTGCGATAATTACAAAAATTAATGCTTGTAACGGGTCCATCATACACCTTGAAGAAATTATATTATGATTTGTGTTTAATTCCAAAGAAATTCTGTTCGTCCTGAGGTGATTTGTTGTACTAATTGATGTCGGTTTCAACGTTTCCAAAGGTGCTTTTTATACACATCCTTTTTGATGTTCACAAAAGCCTGAGGGTTAGTGGGTCTGTTGAATGAAGCGAGGTAAAATAGACCAGTTCTAAAGTCAGACATACTCAGCTCAAATAATGGGTATATGATCTAGCTTCCCTAAACCTCACTTCTTGTTCTCTGATACGAGCAGGAAATTGTGAGGATTAAATAGAGTAATGCTCAATTAGGTGGTTAGCTCAAATACTAGCGCTATGGTGTTAAGTGACCTGCCAAGTCTGTCTGGATAGTGGGTTTCAATGGCAAGAACAGAACCGGAACCACCAGGGGTCAGGTCCACACTAGATCCTAGGCGGCCCACGTCCCCTCTGATGCCACGATGGGCCTGATTATTGTTATGTGTTTCTTTAGTCACTAAGTGGTGTCTGACTCCTTTGCAATCCCAGACTGTAGCCCACCAGGCTCCTTTGTCCTTGGGATTTCCCATAGCTTTTAAGGTTACATTTCAATCCTGTCTGTGTTTTTATAGGGGGATAACAATAGAAGTATACCATAGGATTATGTTATCAAGCAATAAAGCTGTCATTTCATTTAGCAGTGTGTGGGCATAGCTCTCTTAGTTAGGGTTCATCTGATGCAACCACTCCCTCCATACCACTTAATTGCATAGCTTTATACACTCATTCTGCATATATTGATTACCTATCTACTATGTAAAGACTGTCTCTTGGCATATGGCTAGGTAAAGTCTTTCAGGATTTGACAAATCTGATCCAATTAAAATGGCTCAGAAGAGGTCTTGAGCAGCAGAATGTAGTTCTCAAGTGACAGATCCTTGACATCTTGATTTTGCATTAATCATTCTGCTTTTTCATTTGCTTTTTGCGCTCATTGCCTGGGCTCTGACCGACTATCCCTTACTGCATGGGAATCATGGGATGAGTGTAAACGACAGAGGAAATTCTGTGGGCTGGAGGAGGGAGGAGGGGAAGCTACAAAGGAAGTGCCTGACCCACACCTGGCAGCTCGCCTTAACACAGCAACCTTACCTCGGTGCCACCCAGCATCCCTTAGGCCCTCCATAAATACGGGCTGACAGGTAAGTGATGACTCACGCAGCACTGTAGGGAGTTACAAGGACATGCTGTGGGGTTGATGTGGGCTCAGGACCTTCTGAAACTCACAGATCTGAGGCCCTTGAAGGAAGTCTTCTGGCTCTCCTGCTCCGATTGCTGTCACTCTGTGGGACTCTGAAGCCAACAACTATGCTGGGAATACACTGTTCCTCCCCTTAGGGTGCTCATGGCTGCCTCCTAACTGGAACCTGCTTGTAAGGTGGTTTAGTTAAGAATCTGCCTGCCAATGCAGGGGACATGGGTTTGATCTCCGGGCTGGGAAGGCAACTAAGCGCTGTGCCACAACTACTGAACCTGTGTCTAGCGCCTGGGAGCTGCAACCACTGAACCCACACATTCTGAACCCATACAAAGCCTGCATTCTGGATCCTGGGCTCTGCACCAAGAGACGCCACCACAGTGAGAGGCCTGTACACCACAACGAAGACCCAGTATATCTGAAAATAAATAAAAATCTAAAAAAAAGTAATTGTAAGGCAGGAGTCTGGGGCGCCAGTGCCTAGAATGGCTTTGGAACGGCCCCCGAGGGACATGGGTGATGTTAGATCATTTGCATGGAGTTGAGTCTCTGTCACACTGACCTTGGGCCCTCTGATCAGTGGAAGATGTGCAGAAAAGTGGGTACCATGTGTTCTGAACAGAGGCTTTGAGAAGCGGCTTGTGTTCCCCTCTCCCGCCTAGGTTTGTGTGGTCTTCTGTGAGGACTGGGCCTAGGTTGCCACTGTTTCTTCTGCCTGGGCCCTCAAATGACAAGCAGGCCTCACAGAAGGAAGCTGACCTGAAACCCAAGCCCTGCCAAGCCCAGGCAGGCGACAGCTCATCCACAAACTCATGAGTGAGAAAGAAACGCTTGCTTCCTTAGGCACCGGAAGGCTGTGTTTTATGCTTGGTCATTGCAGCCAAACATAAATCACCTGCACAAGGAAAAGGGTCCCCCCAAGTACCAGGAGCACTGTCCCCTTGCTGCTCGGAAACACTGCACACGGTACATGCATCGGAAGCTGACCTAATCCCGGATGATGCGGAGGTATGGAAACACACATTCAAACATGATCACATGAGTAGTTTTACAACTGCACATTCTGATAATGCTACTATTAAAAAGGTACAAAGCTCAGGATGTCATGAAACAGAGGACTCAGTCTGGTTGCGAACTCAGTGAAAGCTTCTTCGAAGATGGATATTTGAGACCAGAAGAGTGAGGGGAGACAGGCATCTTTGGGGTTGGGGGCTAGCATTTCAGGCAGACAGGGAATAGCATGAAGGAAAAGATGGAAGAGACTTGGTGGGTTGAGGCTCTAGGGGAGGACAGAGTGACCGAGGCTCAGTGGGCGTGAGACAGGTCAGTGGAAGAGTGGAGCTCGGCAGAGCCGAGGCTTTGCCGTCCACAGTGAGGGCTGTGGATTTTATACTATGCACAGTGAGCACCGTCAGAGGGTAAACTGACATTTACTTGAGTAAATATGTTAATCGTATAACTAGGGTAAATGCAGGCTATGGAAAGCAGATGTAGACTCTGAATTTCAAATACCTCCAATGGTGTGACTGCTCATGTAAAACTTTTCTCATAGTTCAGGTTATGGGAAATGATTTTCTGACACCAGCAACTGAAATCCTATCTTTCTTTATCTAGAAATAAAAGTTAATAATTCCCTCATGAAGTTTTACTTTCGAATGAAATACATTCATCACACTATCCTAAGAAAAGATTCTGATCAAACTTCCATTTGAATGACTATATGAGGACTTAACAGCTTTGAAATGAAATGAGTGAAAATGCTGAATTAGCAGAGATACAAAACACTGCTCTATTTCTGGATCAAGATAAGAAATTTGTTATTAATAGATAGTAACAGTGGAAATACCATATACTATCTGGAAATCAAATAAAAATAAAGCTAACTACTGATGAGATTCACATTTACAGAATACACATTTATAGAACATTATCCTAAGAATTATGTTCCTATGAGGTTTTCACTGGAGTTACTGTATAAACACTTAAATGATAGCAATGAAACCAAAAGAGAAAAAGCTCA